TAATATCACATTGTGTGGCACTCATTTTATGTTTCTAATTCCCCCTCCCTCCTGTCCTTCCTCCTCAGAAAGATAAACGTGTCAACAACAATGAGGTATCCAACTACTAATCGAAAGCAATATAGCTCTGCACAGATCAGCTCCGTGATGGAATAAAGAAGTGAGCATGGATCTAAGCACCTTCTCTTCATATCATGGCCTTCATGTTGTTTTCAGGAGCATTTTTGTCAGGCAGTGATGAAAGGCTGAGAACAAAGTGAACAAAATTTCCTTTTACTGCTTAAAAATTCTCAGCTGCTTTGCTATATCAAAACGCTGTCTCTTTAAACAAATCGCATGGTTAAAAATGCCAAGTTATAATTCAGCAACTAACTCTGAAAATGACAATTTAATCAATCAGAACCAACCCTCCTGAAAAGAGGGGTGGAAAAAAAAGGAAAAAAAAATCTTAAAGCTTTCATGCAATGCGAGTGGTTGAAACTATAAAAATGTTCAATCACGGTAGAACAAGCCTGCAGCATCAATGTTTATTAAAGTCAGGGGAGCCATTTATTGACCTGGGAAACAGCAAAGCACCAGCAGCACCGCTGGATTGCATTTTTATGGTTAACAAACAGAGGGTGATATTTCCTTTTTCTCTTTTAATTGTGATTCCTTCAAATCCAAAAAGTTAAAAGCATCCTGATTTTTAAAGGAAAGCAAAGAGAAGGATGCTCCACACCGTTCTACTGTCATTCTCTTTGCTCTGGCTTCTAACATGGGCATATATCAAATAATTTCAAATATTTAGGCTTCTCCACATGCCAGCAGCATGAGTTCTCTCCACCACTTCAGCTGATGGCAGAATATAGAGAGCTGCCATTATGAAGCTGGCTCTTTCTGTAATCAAAAAGGAATTACTCTATTTATTCATACAAAGCTCACCCTGTCACTGGACCAGCCAAAAGCACTCAGAACAAACTGTCCTCTCCCAAACTGACATCAGGCATTTTCTCCAAAGACACATCTTAATTGTTCTGGAGATTTTGTAACTGTTTTGCCATGAGCACATTTTTAAAACACACCTTTCCATGCTGCACAAATTGTGAACTACTGAAGGCTATTAAAAGGAAAGAGTCAGCAATGTGAACTGCCCTCACAGATCTGTGTTACCCAAATTACAGAAGTCTGGCTGTAATTCTTTCCACATCATTCCCATCCGCAGGAAAACCCATGGTCAGCTGAGGAAAGTGGGGCAGGGATTTAAAACACCCTCTGTGTGTCATTTGCTGCAGGAAACAGGACTCCCGTATGACTAATCAATATGATGAGGCAGAAGATGTTTATTGTTTATATTACACATTTATTTATACATTCTAGCTCTACTGCACACCCTGATCATGTTCTTCTTCATTGGTGCCTGTACCTTGTCCAGGTGTTCTGCATGCACCTCTCAGAGTATGAGACTGGTTACAGTCCAGGTGCTTCACAGCCCTCTGTTATCTAGTTCTTGTGGTCTTGGTATTCTGTTTCTCAGCCTCTTCTTTCTTAATTTAACACAGTTTATGTCGTAGTAACCTTGAAGCACTCCAGAGAGCGCTGAGAGAACTCTGATAAGAGTAGCTACAAGCAGTATGGCTGGTGCACAATGGGGCTTAAGTTCAGATACACTGCTACAAGCTGCCACCTAAACCGGTGTCAATGCCAGAAAAGCAAAAAAGCAAAAGAGGCTGGATCAGTGCGGTGTGAAGGAGAGCTGGAGCTACCCTGTATCCTCCGTGGATGAGGTGAGGTTGTACAGGATCACATCAAAGGTGATGAATAGTGTAACAAACCCCGGGCACCCAGCACCGCAGCAGCTGCCACAGCCCCGCATGCATCAGCGGCTCGGAGCGGGGTGGGAGCAGCAGGGATGAAAAACGAGTCCTCCCCATGAGAACAGCACCTCTGCCACGCGGAGATTTCACACTCTCTCCGTGGGGAGCACAGGGGACAAAACTGCTTTCCTGATCACACCCAGCCCCGGCGCACTTCACACCTTCCTTCAGGTTTGCAAACAGACCTCCGGCAGCTCCACTTCTCATGTTCTTTTCCTCATTCATAGAGAAAAACACATAATGTGCTTATTTAAAACACAGTGGAGGAGTTTGACACAAATTAATGATTTGCCTGTCATAAGAATTTTGATACTTGCAAGGAGGGGAAAAGGGCTTCAGGTATTCAGAGGGCTCTAAAAAGCTGCCTCGGAATTCAAAGACAGCTCATAAGAAATCAAATCAACTGATAGTTTGCTGTAAGGTTTGAGATACCCATTTTGCACTAAAATCACACTACTACAATAATATGAATAAATAAAAGATTATGGGAAAAGTAAGCCACGAGTTCCCCCAAATTAGATCCCATTGACGTGAAATTACTTCACAGCTGCCACATGTGCTGCTCCAAGAGAGATTACTCCTTAAATAATGTTAATGACAACTTTGATTTGACTTCAGTAATTACTAGAGGGAGAAGGGACCACATTTCCTAGGAAGAAAAATCTTTTATCTGCTTGTTTAATGTACAATCTTTGATGAGATGGAACTCCTTTCCCCTAAGTTATTTCCCGAGTATTTTTGTTTTGAAAAAGAAATTGATTTCTAGGTTGAAAATGGAGCTGCTGTGAAGCACTCAGCTGTGGGAGAGAGTCTAATTGTCATTTACAATGACCCTCAATTCTTCTCTAAACACAGAGAGCTTCTTTTTCTCTCCTAACTCTCCTCTCCCTCGCTCCACAAGCAGGCGTATTTACAGGGCTGGATTCTTCTCTGAGTTACCTCCACCACCACCAGTAAATCATAAAAATTTCTCCTGCAATCAATGGAGTGTCTTCACATTTACCAGACAGTATAATCTGGTCCACAAGGCAGCTGATTGTTATCTATAACCTCCCCATCCAATTCAAGTGATGGGAGATGCAACCCAAAAATTTCCTTTGGGCTTTTTTACTGCCAAAATAGATCACATTTTTTGGCAGCCTTTTTACAATCCCCACTTTTCTAAATAAACATCACAGAACCTATACTGCTTTTACTGCAAAATGCTTCTCCCTGCCTGCATCAAGGCGGGTTTTTAGCTGATGTGCCAACAGACAGTGAGAGAAACTCTGTGCAAGCCTGGGGTGCAGCACCAAGACATGGGGTACAGCTTATTCCTGGAGCAGGGAGCACCAGGTATAATCTTCATGGTTAGATAAAGTGAAAATTCCTTGCATTCTCCTCATCTCATACATCACTGCATGGTGATGTAAATTACTAGATTGTAGCTCCCAGAGAATTTGGGGGCAGGATGCTGCTTCTCAACAAAAGCAGAGAGGAGCTGTTGTGTGCAGTGCCCAAATCCCAAACAGGCTGTGAGCAGAGTCTGCTGAGGAATTGTTGAGCTGGAATGTTCTGCAGGATGGAGGGACAGAAACAGCTCTTGGAAAGGCCACCAAGCAAAGGCAGGCACTACCACAGCTCGGTGGCTGCAGAAGTGCTGAGGAGAGCACAGTATTTAGAAGGAATCATTCAAAGTACATTCCTGCACTGTAAATGAACCAAAACTGCTCAGAAAAGCCCTGACGTTGAAGGTCATGCAATTAAACACAGGGCTCTGATTTGCAACGATCAACAAAAAGTAAATGCATTATTAAAATGCACGGCAAATAGAACAGAACACCAAAAATGGACAGATTCTGGCTGTACTCTGCCATTACATTAATTAGCAGCTTTCCCCTATTGGTTTGCTCACTAAGATTCAAACATATTTGTTCTTTGATGAACATTTGTATTCAGAAAATGGCAAATTTCTTCCCAGCCTTCTTTTGTTGGGAAGGGACGATAGCTGTTAATGAGAAAGGGAACAGAGAAGGAGCAAAACAGCTTAGCTGCCACGCTCACAAAGTGACTTTGTCACTGGGGCCTTGAACTTCAGAGCAGCTTCAACTCATTTACAGAGCCTGGGAATGAAGGTGCCTTCCCTATATGAAAATTAAATATTTTCACGCAGTGTTATGACTTTGCCTTGAAGCATTTGTGGCTCCATGTTTCATTGGCATTTGTGGTCATTTTAGTCCACTGAGCTTAAATGTGTAATAAGGATGCCTGGATGTGGATAATTCTCCCTCCTTTCCCACTGCAATCAGGTTTTGTCCTTCATTATACCTTTCTGTGGAGTCTATTAGAACATAAATCTTTACAGAATTCTTCAAGCTTTGACCTACATCTTGCATGTATGAGAACTTTTCTCCCTAAATTGTCTTTTGGAGCACACCAGTTCATTAAAGTTTTGAACACTGAACCCTCACTCTTATTGCTTTATCACCCAGTTTATGTGCCAAATGTCAAAACAGGCATCAGAAATCTGATTTATGAGGATATATAGAGAAATCGTGGTACATGCTTCTGACTAGGAGTCAGCTGGCAATTCCCTATCAGGATTTCCTCCTCAGCTCCCAGTGCCCAGTGGGGCAGTCCAACAACAGCACTGCCAATAGTGAATTCATAAATCACAATTCAGGACTAACAAAGCTTTGAGGGTCTTTGAATCTGTGTGCTTTCCAGTTTTAATCACATCTGACCATTTTGTAATTTTTTTTTAAATAAAAGTCAGTGCTGATTGTAAAAAAATAAGTGCGTTTAAAATCAAGCAGTCTCCAAATGTCAGTGTGGGAAGTATTTTATTCTCTTTTTGAAACACCAGAAAATTACGGATGAAGCTGTAAGCCGGCAGTACTACACAACACACAAGCATGAGTAAGGCATGTTAGGTTCACACACTGATTTACCATTTCACACCGAGCGGATTTATGTCCTGCTCAAACCCCCGATCTCCCTCACCCGCACAGCCGTAAAGTTTATTTTTATCGCTGGTTTTGCACCACCACAGCGCACCCCCCGGCCCCGGCAGCTCCCGGGGCTGTGGGCAGGGTGCTGTGGGCAGGGTGCCGTGCCCGCGGCCGCCCCCGGCCGGAGGGTGGAGCCGCGCCGCCGCCTCGCCCCGCTCCTCCCGCGGCGTGCGCGGCCTCGGCGCTACGCGAGCGCGGGGATCCGCCGCGGCCTGCGGGCCGCCATGGCCGGGGAGGTGAAAACCAAGCTGTCCAAGAACCTGCTGCGCATGAAGGTGACGAGGGAAGGAGGGGAGGGCGAGCCGGAGGCCTGCGGGGGGGGCTGGAAGCTCGGGCAGCAGGGCCGGGCACCGATGGTGTGCGGGGCCCGGCGCTGTGAGGCGCGGCCGGGCTGCGTGTCCCCGGCCGCACGCGGCCGTCCCGGAGCCTGGTGTGGGGCATTGCCGTGCCTATTGCCGGCCAGCCACGCTCCGGATAAACAGATTGTGTTTATCGATGGGCTGCTCCCCCGGCAATAAATTACTGGTGCCGGCACGGACCCGCTCGAACGCGGGGGTTACAAACTGCAGGGTTCGGTGCAGCCTCATGGTTGCAGCTAAAGCCTGGCCTCAAGGGCCGGCTCCAGCGCACCTTTTGGGAATGCTTTCGTTCCAGCTCGCTCCTCTACTGCTGGGTTGTTTGTTGTGAATGTAAATAAAAATATTTCAACGGCACATTGAAATTAAAATATCAGTGCTGTTTGCTTTGCTTGGGGGTGGGGCTTTTAGTGTTGAGAAAAGAAAGTTTTGGTGTGTTCATTTTTACCCTGTTTACATTGCTGGCTAAGGAAATCTCAGCCTGAATGGGGATTAACATCTAATATTAACCAGCTTTCCCAACTCATAAAAGCCAGGGATCTTGGTAACATCCCGATGTGCTTATTACCCTTGGAATTGTGAATCTCATGTCACCAGTGTGAAATTAGTCTCTGCTCAGTGTGAAATTAGTCTCTGCTCACTGGCTAATGGATTCTGCTTCACACCATGTACTACAACTCCTAATTCAGTAGAGTACGTTCTCTGATTGATGGTCCTTTATTGCTGGAAAACAACCAGGAAAAGTTGAGTACTTTTTTTTTTTTATGTTAATATTCAATTTTTTAACTGAACATGATGGGGCCTTTGTGGCTTCTTGCTTGTGGTGTTTTATTTAGCCATTTTTTCCCCACGTATATGGGCTTATATTTCACATTCTGGCTGAAAAGAGTTAGCTGACTTCAGTTCAATTTTTCACATAAAGTGCACTCTGCAGCAGTTGGATGATGGAATATTTACCCTAATTAACAGATGCTTCTAAATCTAAAACTTGTACACATAAGGAACAAAATACATCTTGCCTCTCTCTCTAAAGGGAGTAGGTGTTGAACTGAGTCAGCCAGCAATGTGTGATACAGACTCCCATAACCTGGATAGCAGCATCATTATTTTTTCTTATTTTTATATAATACACTTTTAAAATGAAATTTTTCTTTCTCTTGTTTGCCAGCATACTAACCCCCTGGAGGTTTCAAAAGCAGGTTTTTGGATTGTTTTCCTCTGGAAGGCCATGGAGAACCAGGCATGTGAATATGCTGCCATGACATTTGCAGGTTCACAGTCCAGGCAGTAATAACCAGCTTTGAAGAGATCAGTAAGGTTTTGAAAAGGTCATACACAGATCTTGCATTTAGCACTTTGTTTCTGCAGATCTTCCTGTTTACAAATGTTTTAATGAAGCCTTTAGCAGCTGCCTCTGCAGGTAGGGATCCAATGTATTGCCAGAATTCAGCAGGTGGGTGCAGTGGCACCCAGAGGTGGTGAGTGGTGTTGGAAGGACCTTTACAGTAAATTCTGGGCCACATGGAGACACACTTTTAGATCTTGCACCATTTGATCCAGATCTCATAGCTTGGGGAAACTCACCCAAACAGTTCCTCAGTTACTGACTTACACATTCTGTGCCTACCACAACTGATATATTTTTAATTCATCAGTGTGTGTTTACATTCGAGAGAAACCTGATCACATAATTTCTATCTAGGTTTTTCCTGTAGTAATCTTCAGGAACATAATCTTTAAAATGGAGTGTGAAATGATTATTTAATTGGGTTCTTGTAGCAGAATTTCTTGTGTTGAGATTTTCAACTGGCTAACCAATTTCCTTGAGCAATATGTTTTTCCACATGATAGATTCACTTATTTTCCTCAAGAAGATACTGTAATTTTAATTGGAAAGCTTTGACATATTCTGAATCGACTCAGAAAACAGAAGTCAATTTTTCTTTCATTAAAGATCTTGTACAGTGGATGCAAATAGAAATAGAAAATTAAGCACTAGCTCTGTTGGCTTGTACTTCTGAGTTTGGTTTGGTTGGGCATTTTGTAAAGACTGGAGATGTGTGGGTTGTTTGTAATGCATACATTGCACACCTACATCACCTATATATTTTTACATGACTGTGTGTGAACTGTACTGTTAGATTTGCCTCTGTCTGGGAGTTAGCTTGGTATAAATGTAGACTTCTGACAGGTACAGTTATCCAAACACTTTCTGTAGATCCTCAGGAAGGTCCCAGCTTTTAGGGAGGTGGGACTATATGGGTTATCACCACAAAATTTTGAAGAGTTCTGTTTTTCCCCACCATGTATCATTGACATTGTTTAGACTTCATTGTCACTCAGTTCAGGCACCTGACTTAAGACAAGTGGAAATTAAAATGCTGTTTCACAGGCCTCAGGTCTGTAGTTCTGTGCTCTCAGCAGTTTTTTATAGGCTCTGACAGATGTCTTCTTCTGCTCCCAGCTGTTGAGGGGTTGCTGTTCCTACCTGCCTGTTCCCATCCTCTGACAGAGGTTATCACCAAGGAAGCCAGTGACAGGAGTGTCCTTGTGTTAGGAAAAAATAGAAACTTGCCCTAAACTTGATTATTGGTCTCAGCTATTTTGGCAAACTGTTCCTGCAGAGGGTTAGCAGGTCCTTGAATACAGTGCTGGACCAGGACTTTGGTGGGTCAGTGAGAACTGAGGAGCTGGGAACATCTTCCTTTATCACAGCTGGATACAGAGGAGTTTTCCTCATAGTCTGCTTTCAAACTCTGACATTTTTCCACTTCCAAAGTCAGGTTTGTACCTTCAGAGCTACAAACACAATCCAGTTCATTAAATCTGAGAAGAGGATGGTTGAAAGTACAGATGTTTGAAAAAATGGCCAGCCTGGCATGAGCCACCTCCAGCTCTGAGCTCCAGTGCTGTTTGTATGGGTGGAGTTGGTTCCTGATGTGCAGCAATAACTTCCACACCATTATCTTCTTTCTGGCCTTTACTGAAACATTAGAAAAACCTCACTAAAATTAGGGAATGTGACAACTCCGATCCATCAAAACTAGCCAGGACAGCTCTGTTTATTTGTATGTAAGTCCAGGTGTGACTGACTGTTAACTTTCAGTAGATAGCTGTGATCAGCAGCTGTTGTAATTTTCCATTGTCTGTTTGCACAAACAGACTTTGACCAAATTCAGAGAAAAAAAATCACAAAAAACATTAACTTTGTATCAAATGCTAAACACTATGTAATGGATAATTGCTATCATGTAATTACTGCATGTTCAGAAGATACTCATGATGCAGAAAACTGAAGCTGTGTGTTTGTGTCTTTCTTTGTAGTTCATGCAAAGGGGTTTGGATTCACAAACTAAAAAACAACTAGAGGAAGAAGAAAAGAAGATAATTAGTGAAGAACACTGGTATCTTGATGTACCAGATCTAAAGGAAAAAGAGTAAGCTTGTAATCTTTTGTACTTCTTATCGTCATTGGATTGTTTTGAAATGGAAATAGCAGATTCATATTTTTTCCTGTAAGATAAGTTTTATAAATAACCAGTTAACAGAAGCAAAAATAGTGACAGACTGGCATTACAACTTTTTTATTACTTATTTTTAGGGCTGTTCTTGAAGTTCCCTAGTGTAGTTTGACCTACTTTCAGTTCTTGTGTGTGTTGTTTTCTTTCACTCACACATTCTTCTAGATGCATGCAATTAGTTTCTTTCAGTCAGGGTCCAATTCATTCTTTGCTGCTTTTTCCCTTCATTAGAAACAAAGTTTGGAGCCTTGTGTTAGTAAATTCAGCTCCAGACGCATGGTTAAGTTGATTCAGGACAGTTCTGTCCTCTTGTGCCCAGCTCACTTCAAATCCTGGTTTTGAAATAGGAGGGATAATGGCAAAAATAAAGGAAGGCTTAGCTAATAAGGAAATGTGTCCTGCTCTTTAGAAAGGTGCCTTAAATAACAGGAGAACTACTTTTGAAATTGCTTGGGTTTCATCCTTTCTAAAGTGAAACAAATTCCACTGAGGGAGAACATACATAGTTTTGAAAAAGCTGGGACCCAAGGAATTAACTGTAGCTGAATAAGGCCATTGATAAACTCTTTTCCATTACTCTTGGTGGATTTGACAAAAAGGTATTTGAGCTTCAGTTGCAGCAAGGAGTGTTCAAGCTGGACATTGGGAGAACTTTTGTAACAATAAGGCTATTGAAGCTCTGGAGTAGATTGCCTGAGGAGACACTGGATTCTTCATCATGAGAAGTCTTTTGAGGACAGGTTAGCTGGACCTCTGCTGTTCATGGCACATGTGTGACTGATATTGCCTCAAGGCAGGACAATGAGCTCAGTCTCTTCAGCCTGAGTTCTGTGATCATGAGGGTTTGATTTACATGGGAGATGAAGAGGATGAGGGAACAGGTACATGTGTGTGAGGAAAAGGATGGAACAATCCACCAAAGTACTTTTATCTGGCACGTGTATTATGAATGCCTCAGGGTCATGTTTCTTTTCTCGCTCCATGCTCATTAAAAGAGGGAAAAAAAGGAGGAAGAAGAGGGGAAATCTGTCTGCTGAACAGTGACACAGTGTTTTATACCCTGACAGACTCAACTAATGCCAGGTCCAACAGCACAATGAAAAATTAATTAGAAGCTTTTGCTGGTATAGTAGTGCCACCTGGGGAGTGATATTTATGTGGTATTTTTATTCTGGTAAAAGTATTAATGTAGGCAGAACCATACCAGCAAAGAGTGCTTTTTGTCAGAAGAGTTAATTTTGCTTGTGGAACTGGCACAGCTTTGCTGGCAAAAAGGATTCCTTTGCACTCCAAACTCTTTGTACTGAAAGATTTATCAGGGCAATTGAGCAGAAAGCAGTTGATGGTTTAAAATACACTGTGGTTTTGTTTATTTGTGTGGGGGGAAGACAGCACATCCTTTTTGCATTTGTTTAATTTGATCATTTTAAAGTGCATGGTTTGACAGAATGCTGGGTTTGGGGTTTCAGGAGCTGTATAATAGAAGAGAGAAGCTTTCTGCGATGTGAGGATCTCGTTTATGGCAGAATGTCCTTCAAAGGATTCAATCCTGAAATTGAGGTACCATTTCAGTGTCCTGCTTTGAGGTTGTCTCACATTAGGATTGAAGCCCTTGGGGATGGGGATTTGAGTGTTCACACTGCAGCATTATTGGCCTTTGCAGCACCTTCCATAAACCTTCCCATGTCCCAAAACTCCATCATTCAACCCTAAATGTTGATCAATGCAGCATCTGGTAAATGGAATCTTTTTAGCACCCTGTGTTGTTGGTCAGTAATTGCAGACTCCTGCAGGTTTTCCCTCCCTGAAATGAGGAAGCCATCCCACATGCTGCTCACCAAAACAAAAGCTCACTTTTCCTCCTGACATAGAATGCAGAGTCCAATCTACAAACACTCAACTCTATTTATTCAACACTTACTTGTATCAATAAGGGCTTAAGAGTTCCAAAGTAAAAATGCTGGGCAAGAGTCTTTAATTTCTTTCTGGCATGATTCATGCTGATAGAAGTACACAGGGACAGGAATCAAAAGGTTAGCACTGAACCTGAAGCAGGAGGATGGTGTAAATTGGCAGAAGGCCATGTAAGGTAATTTACTAGAGAATTCTTTTAGTTACTTTGAACTTGCTGTCCCTGTGACAGAGCATATGATTGCTTCATGGCTTTTACTGTAAATGCTTGAAGATATTCTTTCTTTTTAACAAAACCATTTCAAGGTCTGTGTGCTAACATCACAATGAAAAATTAATTATGATCTGGTCTCCTGGAGATGTTTGGAGTGCCCTTTAGGATGTTTGAGTAGTACAATACACTGAAACACTGTCTCTGTTGCCTTTTCTTCATGAGTTTTCATAATGATGGGCTCTAGCCTAACCACGAACAGAAAATAATTACTAATTTGATTTTTTCCTCTTATGCTCTTCTACCAGTGAATTTCAGCACTGTTGCCGTTGTGTCATGGTTACATGCTTAAGCTGTTTCTCACTTCATTTTCAGAAGTTAATGATCCAAATGAACTCCAAGTGCAAGGAGGAAAAAATTGAAGAGGATGATAAAATGGAGGCTGATGTGTCAGATGAAGAAATGGCCAGAAGGTAAGTTACATTTTATGACATAATCAGTACTAGCTAGGAATATGATGTGTTAGTGTATTATGTGTGGGGAAATAAAACCCAAAAATGAAACAAACAAAATTTTAAAAAAGCCCACAGTAGATATGGAACTGTACCAGATTGGTTTTCCAGGAGTGCTGGTGTATTTTCACTTCAATATCCAATGCATTTGGGGGTAAATTCTGCATCACTTGTGGGGTTTTCTGCCCTTTGATATCCAGGTATTCCATGCTAATTCCCTCCTTGTTACCAGCTGCTAACAAATTGAAACTATGAGTGAATAATAATGTAATAAGTCATGCAGTACTTGTGCTTCTCCAAGCTTTTAATGACCAGGGTTTTTACACCACTTGAATTGTTGATTATGTTTAGGAGATGCACCACGATTTTTCCTCTGATTTTACTTGAAGGTCTAATTTTTTTTTTCTCTCTACAGATATGAAACATTAGTGGGAACAATAGGGAAGAAATTTTTGAGAAAAAGGGACCAACGTGTACTCAAGGATGATGATGAAGATGAAGATGATGAAGAGGGGAATAGTAATGCAAGACCTAGTAAAAGAGCTAAGAAAATGTTCTTAAAACCTCAGGATTAATGTCAACTGCACAAGTGGAGCTTGTTACTTAATGCCTACCAAACAGAGTACCAAGGACTGGAGATTGTTTGGAGTTTTTGCTATTTAGTGTAAAGGGTGGATTTGTAAATCTGTTCTATTCTCATTGAAATTTCTACCATCCACAGGACAGACACTTTCCAAAGTGGGTGTTTATATAATGGATGTTGTACATCCTTTCCTCTCTCAGCAGCTTTTCATGAGTGGGGCACTCATCCCATCAGTCTCTTTAAATGTTCTGCATAGTTAAATTGAGTGTTGCATGCAATCAAAAGCAACGTTATTTACAATTTAGGATAACATCTGAAAGAATTATTTGGAGTAAAGATGAGCTGTGTCCAATTCAGTAAGGCAGTTCAGCTTTCACTGCTTGCTTTATTATGAAAATGAAACCTGCGCTCTCTTCAAATTGAAAAAAGTCAGCAGAAACATGCTTGGTTTGTGGTCTTTTTTACTACTTTTTTACTGCTAAAAATAAGATGAGAGAAGAACAGAGAGATAAAATCCACTTTATTGAATTTTATTTTTTATAAAGTTTATTTAAAAATAGAGGATTTTGTAGTGAAACTTTTTTTTTATACAGCAAGCCAAATATTGGGCGACGTTTACAGTATGACATCTTAGCAGATTGTGAATCTTAGTTTCTGCCTTCCAAAAGAAATTTGCTAATTTTGCCTCTTTTTCAGCAAAAAAATCCAATCTTATAATTATGTAAGTCTTGTCATAAAAGCATAATAACAGTTTCAGGAACATACTTGAAAGCAGAATAAAAACTGTGGGGTTTTGTGTTAATGATTGTGGATTAGTTTATTTAGTGTAAAAAATTATGCTTAATACAGTCTGATACAAGGAGAAATCCTGTTTTTGTGCTGGCCACAGATGTCCCCCAGCATTTAGCTGAGTGCACTGATTTATTTAGCATGTGATGAAGCCATCTGAAGTAGTATTAGGATAGAAACAGCATTGTCTTTGGTCAGTTGGTGCTCTGGGTTTTTTGAAAAACATCAGTGTGTTCTTGTCTAAAATCATAGCAATTCTTTGTGCATGGCCTTTCAACAAGAAATATTGCTGTTGCTACATTTCCTCAGGATGTCCAAACCACTCATCCTTAATGCTGGCTCTCTGCAGAAAGGAATTTGTTAATTGAAGTGAGGAGTGGCCATTTTGCCATGGGCACAAGGCTTTTTTTTGGTCTTTTTTTAACAGCTCAGTGAAACAAGATGTGAAACTCAATTATTTAAAGAAGGACACACTGTGTCTGCTGTATTTTGCTTGTGATACATGAACTATGATCCATATATCAGGAGCACCTAATTAGATATTCAAGATGGATCACACATGGAAAGAGAAATATACTTTTAACCTAGTAAGGGGACTTTGTGCAGGTGGAAAGGCTGTGATTCATGATCTGAGATAGTTTTTCAGAGCTAATTAAATGCTACTGGTTCAATTAGTTAAAACCTGATCATATATTACTGCTAGCTGAAAAGGAGTTAATGATGGCAAGACATTTTTCTTCCCACGGAAGATGTGACCTGAGCTATGAAATGATTTATTGTTGGTCATCACAAGAAAAACTTGGAATACATCCCATTATTCTTCTTGCTTATTAGTAGGAAAATGATTCCTCTGAATGGATTTCTTGAATGGAGAGTGAGTTTCTGCATAGCTGTGCTGAATAATTGAGGGGTGAGGTGTGTTCTGGTGAGCCACCAGCAGCCAGGAGATGTCACTGCAATGGCATGTCCTGAGGGGCTGTGGGTTGGGGAAGTGTCCAGTGGTGCCATGTAAAGAAGCTTTTGGGTTATTTTGGTAACAACAACGGCTGAGATGGATTCTATGTGGAGTCTTCCTTTTTCAGGCTTCTGCAGAGAGCTCTCCTGCATTGCAGGGTTCTGTTCAGTCCAGTGGGGAGTAATTCTGATTAAGGGCATCCTGCCTCCTTAATTTCACGTCATTCCCTGAGGGATAGCTGGACATGAGAGTGGCACAGTGCGTGGATAAGCACATGAGAAGCTAAACAGCTTCCGAGAAAATCCACGATTTTGGAATTGGGACAGAGGAGGGTTGGTTCTGTTTCAACAGAACTGTGTTGGAACAGACTGTGAAGAAAAGGTAGATTTTAGTTTATTGTCTTTAAATCTGGGAGCTTTGCTGTTCACATTCAGCTGGTGGCTCAGTGCTACAGTAAAACCAGCTACTATTTTTAGCACAATCTTTTATTCTTGGGGCATTTGCAAAATGTGCCGTTAAAAGCACCATCCATAGTGTGTTTTTGTGAGCAAGACAAAACCAAAACTCAGCCCTGTGTGACTTTTTAAATGTACTTTAAGTACAGAGTTACAAGCAGACATGGTGGGATGTTCTGAAATACCTGTCTGCATTTCCAATGGTATAAATACATTTATGGATGGATTTAAGTCTGACTTGAGCTTCCAACCTGAGGTAGAAACGTTGTGCTGTATAAAATCTATGCTTGAACTACTCTTGACAGAGGTGTAAGCATAGCAGTGAAATATTCATAGAGCAAACCTGCATTGATTAAGGCTTTCTTGGCTCTGACACAGGCTCCAGTACATTTTATGTGCAAGCTCCTAAGCTGTAGCACTTCCCCACGTGGTCATGTTTCTAAATGAAAGTGTTTCTTCTCTGGAAACAGAAGCAAGTTGGGTAAGTAGTGGTTTTGTTACAGAAAATGGCTACCTGCAAACTGGTAAAGTGTTACCAGACCCCAGAAGTGAAGTGTGGTTTTAAGTAGTGGTCACTGACAGCTCATGTCTGTCTGTCCCTTGTCATGTGAAGTTTGGTCCCTCCCTTTGGCAGGCTCTTGGTGCTTATTTTGTAATAACTGCTGGGCTTGAAAATATGGAGGTATTGAACAACTTTATCTTTCTTGCTGATGTTTCTCTTTTGCTTCTATTTTGCTTAGTATTGAATCTTAAAAAGTTCAGGACAGAGTCCAACTGAAGTGAGCCATCCAGTCTGAATTTAGTAATGCTTGAGCTGATTAAACTTTGGTTCTTGGGGAGGGGCAGGATGTTCAGTGGTGCTGTGGAGTTTGAACCATGTTTTGTGCTCTGTCTTGTTCTCTAATGAGACTCTCCATGATGCAATGCTCCAGCCACGGGTGACTGTCATTGCCGTTGCCTGTGTGTGTAATGGGCAGCTGGGCTGGGATTCTGGGACTTCATCCAGCATTCAAGCTTTAAAAGAAATTGTTTGTCTTTCCCTTGATTGGAATACCATGCTTTTAAATTGTATTTGGAATTAGATGAGTCTGGGGGTGGAGGGGGGCAGTTTCTCAGCATTTGTTTTGCTTCATTTGAACAACAGTCCCCAACTAAAACTGCAAAATCATTTAGGCTCTCATTAAACCCTTCTCTGAGAATGCTAATGAAGCATCATGGTAGGGAAGGATGGCAGCCATCCCACAGCTCCCAACCACATGTGAATTCAAGTTTCTGTGAGAGCTGGTGCTTTAAGGACTTGGTGGTTTGTTTTCTTTTCAGGCTGGGAGAACATCAGCTTCCACAGTACTGCCTTGCTAATGGAACCCCAGCATGAGGCCTCAGAGTTTGTTTGGTTTTGTTTGGTTTTGCACCATTTTCATCTCAAACCTCTGAGGGTTTCAGGCCTGGCATTCACACCTCAATAACCTGCTTTCATCAGCTTTTGGGAAGCTTTAGTTAAACTGTGAAACTGTTCCTTAGCTGCATGTGTTGACATTTCTTTGTGTGATTTCATGTTTCTCAGCGAGGACCTGCTTATAATTGTCACGTCAAGATGAAAAATTAACAGATGGGAGTCAGGGAGATGGTTGGAGCCTCAATCACCAGCAGCTCTGTAAATCTTTGGTAAGAACCAAGGAGTGGAAGGGATAGCTGGGTGAGTCCCATCACTGCAGGCCCAGTTAAATGTTGATAGGAGCCCACTGGTCCCCAAGAAACCCTTGCATACAAAAATCCAAGCAATTACCTGGGAGAAACAGGGAAGTTGGGAGGCAAAATAACCTAAATGGCTGTCCTCAAGACAAGAAAACAGCTGGGGTTGATGGCACAGAGAAATGTGGTTTGGTAAGCTGAGTAAATGAGACTCCCATCAGATGGAATGGAGGTGGTCAGTGTTTTGAAGCTTGTAATGTTCCCTGAGGTCTGCAGGGAACACCTTGTCATGATCAATTATTTAGAAAGGGGTAAAAACCCTTAATGGGATATTAATATGAGGGAATAACAGAACACAAATTACTGAACAAATTCCATTATTAACAGAGAAGCTGTGTTCTGACCTCAGTAAGATCTTTCTGTGTCCCCTGTCACCTCTTCTTGGCTCTCAGTTTCTTATCCCTATGCAACCATGTGTGCACCCAGGCCATGAGCTGCCACCACGGGAGCTGGCACACACCAAGCCCAGCAGAGATGACTCCTGGGCCTCCTCTTCAGTAATCATCTTCCTCAGCCTACAACCTTTTCATCTAGGCACCTGCAGGAACTCCCCATCTCCAACACCACTGCTGCATTTGTTCAATGTTGGCCTGTTTAGTTCAAGAAGTGTCAGGTAACAGGTTCCAAGGAACAGGTAGCAAGGGACTGGATGTCAGGTAATGGTGTCCAATTATGCCAGGGAAGGTTTTGATTAGATACTAGGAAAATCTTTTCACAGGGTTGGAAAGGACTGGAAGAATGTCAAGGGCAGTGGTGGAGTCACCATCCCTGGAAGTGACACCTGAAGGGCAGAGTTTATGGTGAACATGGTTGTGATGTTGGGTTGATTGTTGAGCTCTATGATCTTAAAGGGCTTTTCCAGCCTCAGTGATCCTAAGAAGTCTGAGGTGGGAAGGGGTGGCCAGCAGATCAGCAGCATGAGTGCAGCTCTCACTTGGCAGATGGGGTGTGCAGGAGTCAGTGCAGCTGGGGGCAGCTGTTCTAAAACAACTCATAATGTCTTTATTTTCCTTTTATTTATTTTCAGGTATACACTTACAGCATTTGTGAGATTAATGATCAGATTATGTCTTTGAGCAGAAAGACTGTTCAGTGGGAGGAATCAACATTTGACTGATATTCAGGCTTATTACAGACTGGGGGGAAAGAGTGGTTTTCAGTGTTTCTGCTATTTTTTCATGCATTTAAGAATGTTTCCCCTTTCTTAGTGGTTTTCTTGGTTGGGCATTTTGCAGAGAAGCATGGTAGGAGAAGCAACATTTTCTGGAAAATGGGGAAACATGATTGTGAAAAAAGAAAAGGTTTCCTTTAGATTTGGCTGGCTTCTTGGGTTGTTTTTTCACTTTGATACAGATGAACAAACACTAATGGCATTAAAGCTCCTGTGCTAAGTGGTACCCATTCAGGACAGCCATGTAGACACTCATGTTTGCAGGACAAAGTTAAGGGTATAGTGGGCTTGGCTTCATATACAAATATAATGCAGTCCTAAAAGTACAGAATTTCCACCCCTTTTGGGACAAAAGTAAATCTAAGCCAGCTGTGACATTTAAGTACCAGTCACAGTTTTAAGTACCAGGATGATTATATCTCAGAAACAAAGCTTAGTAGTTATCTCCTTAGAGCCCATCAGCCACAATACACTGCAATATATAGAATTTTCATCACCAGAAGAATAGTACATACCAAAAATTACTTGGGGCAGTTTACTGCAGTAATGGCCAGAGGGATGCACATGATGACGATTTTCATCTTGTACTATGGTTTGTCTAAGGATGATGGTGAAAGAATTATGCCTCCTAATGCTCCTTTCCAAGATGACAATGTTTTACTCATATTAAAGGTAGAGGAATGAGATGAGCTGTGAGTGGTTTGATCTTGTGAAAAATGAAGTTTTAAATGTGTGCTTTCTTGTCTAAATGCTCACAGATTACTTGTCTCCCTATAATAACCTTAGAAAATGTGTTGGCAGCATATCACAATTAATAATCCATACTCATGTGCTACAGGCAGTCCAAAATTCCCCAGACATATTTCTTACCCAAGCTTATAACCAGATTCAAATCAAATCCTACATTTGTGCCAAAAATTGAACGGCAGTCATCTCCCAGCAAATAATTTTACCTAACTGACTCAAGAGTCTTAAATCCCTGATTTTTCCCAAAGTGAAATTCACATTAATCTCATACTAATGTACATATCCTTCAGTCACCTGCAAAAGAATCCCATAACCTTGCAGTAGGGAATGCACAGACAGTGGAAGCTGCTGTACCCACATAGCATTACTGTAGGTTTTCCTGGCATTCTAGATTGTGTAAGATCCTTTAACATTAATGGGGACAAGTTTTCTCTCTAGGGTGATGTTAAATTTCTCTTTGAGGGTTTTTTCCACCTCTTCATCTTCAAGAGTTACAAATTCCACCAGATCCATGTTTTCCTTGTAGTTGTACGTGGTCTCAGTGAGTGTCCACCCAATCAGCGCCCGGAATCCCTCGGTGGTCTGGAGGGTGCAGATGGACTTCTTTGTGAAGAGGGAATCTGGAGAGGTCTGGAGGTATGTGCACTGGAAACGGAAATCTTCCACTGTCCGTGGCTCCAGGCTGAACATATAAACCTTGCGACACTCCTTCTTCTCCAGCAGGTCAGAGTTGCAGAAGCTCTGGTTGGGGATGTATTGTTTCCGTCTCATTTTCTCCAGGTACCAGACGCCGTTTTTCTCCGAGAAGCGGAACACGCCGGGAGCCTGGGGCTGGTCTTTCCCTGACACGAGCTCCATGGGCTGCCACATCTGGTAGGACACCCCAAAGCCTCCATCAACGATGTAGGCTTTGCCATCGATGACCACCTTTACCACCAGGTGGGTCATGAGGGTGGCGTAGGCGTTCTGCTGGGGGTTGAACACGTAGGCTCCCAGGAAGCTGGTGTCATAGCCCAGGCCCTTCAGCACCCAGCCCAGCAGCTGGTTGTTTTCCATGCACCAGCCACCCCTCTTCCTCCTCACAATCTTGTTGTAAACGTGCTCCAACTCCAACGTAATTTTCTCCCCACAGTGGATGCTGAGATTTTCGAAGGGAACAGCACGGATGTGATGCTGGAATATATCGGTTAAGGTTTCCAAATCTTGTTTTTCAGTGGAGCCTTTATAGCCAGTTCTTGCAAAATACTCTTCAAGGTTCATCTCACCTGTAAAGGAAGGAATTGTGTTTTGGTTTCTTTACATCAGTGATTTATGATGCTGTGAAAAGCTGCCCTGGCTCTGCCAGCAAAGATTCTTTAATCTACTGAACCTCATCAGAACAGCTTTTAAAGGAAACAAGCATTCCCATCAAATGGTTCCCTGAGCAAAGAGCAGTGCACACGAGATTTGCTTTTGTCTTAGAGTCATCCCTCTGGCAAACAGCTGATGCCATTTCACTTTCATACGAGGCAGCTGCAAGATTAGGATTTGCTGTATTTGCATTGTAACAGCAGGGTTAAGAAGAAAAGTAAGGTCTTGCTGGGGAGTGTGTACCAGGGTTCATGAGAAATGGTCTAAAGCCACTGCTCAGTGACAGGACTGTCACTGGGGGAGGCAGTGTCATCTGCCAGTGGGAGGGAGGACATTCTGAGCCAGGATTCACATGTTCTTTTCATGAGTCTGCCACTGATGGATGTGACAGTAAATGAATTGCTTGTTCAGTACACTCTTCCACCACTTACAAAAAGTTAACATGAAAAGTAAAGTGACAAGCTTTATTCAGATAAATGAAAAAAGTCTGACTTTTGAAAGTCACAGACCACTGAGTCTTGTGTCTGCTCAGAGTGTTGTAGAAACTCATTTTGGTGTTGGAATAATGCATCTGAATGGAGGGAAGTGAGTGGCCTAAAAGAAAAGGAGGACATCTCCATTCCCTCCTCTGCCCTGTGTCTCACAGGCCACCCTGCAAATGAACAGGGGTGGCTTTGCTCTCTCTGGTCCTGAGCTTTCTCAAAGCCCATCAATCCTTTAAGTCAGCAGTGAACTATTGAATGTTTACTGCAAACTAGAATTTCTCACAGTGATTCTCAGTGGCAGATTCATGCTGTGCATATTCATGGTCTGGAGGCAGCTGTCCCAAGTGAACAGAGAGTACCAGCAAAATCTACACATTACCTGCTACAGAGAGGAATTAACTTCCAGTGATATCTAGGTGTATTGTTGGAGGATATATTCAATGTAATAATATTTTTTAAGTGTAGCATAAAAGTCATGGCACTTTTGATTTGCGGAATCTGAGCATATCTGATCCTATCACTCTGACTGTGAATGCTAAATAGATCACACCAGTATAAAGCTGGTTCTCAAGTTTGTATTATTTGTAATTTCTTTGTGCAGCTCCATAATATGCTTGATCAGCACTAGATCTGGACTGCAGGAGATGAAAGCCACTGTTCTTTTGAAATGTGAGCAGACCAGATGAAAAGGCAGGTACTGAAAAGGTCGTCCCACAAATGTGGTTATGATTTATGTACAGAAAAACATCAGCAGGAGAATATTAAAGGTGCAAATGAAGGTGTTCATACAAAACTATTCCTTACCAGGATTATACACAGTATCAGCAATTCCACTGTTGAAAATATGTTATCTTCTTTATCCTAATACATCAGCACATGGACTTCCTGGGTTGTACAACCCAGAGTCTGTAATTTTTTAAGTTGTTTTTAAAGGGCTGTAATTTTATTCCCTTAAAGCAGAATCTATTGATTATTAGACTGAACTTTTGCTTCCTTTGCACTTGCAATGCTTCTAAATAAATTCAAGTATCTAAAAGCACGATTTCCAACAAGAAGTTGCAGTTCTAAATTTATATCTACTATTGTACCTAAACAAAGGAATCTATTTTATAGTGAAGCTTCTCCTGAAGAGTGAAAGGTAGAAGAATTGAAATTGCACATCCCTGTTTTGCCCTCTTTAACAGCCCCTGTTTAGCAGGTGATATTTTAGCTCTATATCCACACATTTTTAGCACATTTTTCCTAGAGAATGTTGTTTACGTTATTGTCCATGACCTTTACCATCATAAAGAAACCAGGGTTTTGTATCTTTCTTTGGAGGGAATTTTTAAGAAAATAAACTTACCTCTTATGAGATCCCTTTTTATTTATTGAGGTATTCAGTTTCTGGGGGGTTTATTACAGGGGCAGCAGTCAGTGAAGCCAGGAGTGGATACAGATTGTGAGGATTGTCTTTCTAAGCTCTGCTGGTCCTCGCTCCTGAATCTTAAATTCCAAGAAAGGGCAGAGTCCACCCAAATAGGATTCACATTTTTGGACTTCACTGATCCGTGAGCAAATTAAACTTTGTTTCTTCCTATTAGTAGATGTTTATGCCTTCCCCTAGTTAAGACCAGAATGAACTCGTTTTCTATGTAAAATAATTACAGTAGGCAGTTGCAGATGGTGTTATAACTTTTTTTAATTAAATATTGTTATTTTGCAAACCAGCACTTTGCAGTGGAGGATGTTCATCTGTGCCCTGGTGGGTACACTGAGGTGCCAAGGTGTTGCAGGCTGAGCTCCATGGATGCACAAATGACCCTTCTTTGCCCACACAGGAACTGTTTCAAGCTGTTCAACTCCTCAGCTGTAGCAGGGAGTTATTGTGGAGCTAATGGATGCCATGGCAAATATTTATTTGCATCAAGTAATGCATTTCTGCTCTAAAACCTGGCCTCCTGCATCTCCACAGCATTGCAGTGCTGTTTATTTAATTGCTGCTCATTTAATTCTCCCTGGTCAAGCCTTCTTCATTGGATGGAGGTGGAATATCAGAGGAGGCCTCTGGGAAAGGCAAAGAGCACATTAGACTGCACCTGGGGAAGCACCTGAGTTTTAGGCACATCAGGTAAGTTTGTGTGGTTGACTAAAACAAGAATCAAAGTCTTTTTCTTGGCTGATGTTCTTCTGTCACCCTCTGTCATGGCACGTCCTGTACAGTACCGCAGGTATCATCAGGGAAAAGGCTTCTGTGTCATGGGTGTCTTGCTGTGACACCACACTGGTGGCATGTCCTCACTTCCCAGGGCTTTCTTTTGCATCCACACTTTTTAAGGTAGCTTTTGTGCAGAATACTGTTTGTAATAAATATGAAGATTTTATCTATAATACTATCATCTCCTCTTGACATCACATGAAGGCATGGTCCCAAAAGTTTAGATTATAGTGTGCAAAGATCGATCTAACTTTTTTTCTAGTTTTGATACAAAGGCCTGATTTTTAAGAACTGTTGAATCATCTCATCTTCTACAGATTTTATTTTGAATTCAGTGACACAGATAAATCAGAAAAAGTGGGTACTCAAAATTAGGGAGCTTTTGGGGGGATTAGGTACCCTTGGATAAATATCTTACTTTAAGTCAATTTCTGCAAAGGGAACAGGACTTGAGTCTTTCAACTTTTCATATGCTAATCAGCACCTAATGGTGGCTTGTTTTGAGAAAGCCTTAACCTTTCTTTTTTTCTACAGTATTTAAAAGCCAAATTCAACTCAACTTTAAGACTGTTAAGAGAAGTGAATAATTTGTAAAAGTGACTGAGAAGATTGGAAATAATGCCAAAAAAGGTTAGAGGTCTTTTGTGTAAAATGGTAACACAACCTCTCCTTCTGCATAATTTTGGTCTCATTTGCCACAAAATATATCTGCAATAAAATGAGTTCTTGAGAAGAGGAGAAAAAAGTTAAGGAGTCAAAAACCAACTTCCATATGAGCAAAACAGAGCTAGTAAGATGTCTTGGTTTCTAAAGAAGGAGAGGTTTAATAAAAAAATATGCAATTGATATATGCAGTTAATTAGCAATGTACGGGAATTTACCAAGCTTTGTGACTAGCTCGAGTTAAAAATGAGATTATTGTAATTAATGTTAATTTTAGAATTTTCCTCTTGGTTATTTAAAGATCCATCTAGCACAGTGTTACAGTTAGATCTTATCCACTAAATTAGGTGGCAAGCCACGAACGTTTACTGGTACGAGCTTGTTCTCCAATTCTATACTGAATTTATCTTTCAGTGTCTTCTCAACCTCTTCATCTGTAAGGGTTGTGATGTCCACCAGGTCCATGTCCTCTGTGTAGTTGTACTTCATCTCAGAGAGGGTCCATCCAACCAAGGCAAGGACCCCATTGGTGGTTTGGAGACTGCAGATTGACTTCTTCCGAAGGAGGTTATCTGGAGACACTTGGAGGTATGCATTTAGCTCCTGGAAGTCATCTATGTGCCGTGGCTCGAGGGTAAATTTATGTATTTTTCGGATATTCCCCAGCTCTGGAGTATGAGGGAATTCATCCTTGCTGTGCTCAGCAATGCAATGCTTCCTTTTGACTTTCTCCAAGTACCAGGTGCCGTTGTCTTCCATGAAGCGGAAAATGCCAGGAACCTGGGGTTGGTCCTTCCCAGAAATCAGCATCAGCGGCTGCCACATCTGGTAGGCACCACCAAACCCAGCATCTACTATGTAGGGCTCTCCCTTCACCACCACCTTCAGCAGGATATGGTTCATCTGAGCATCATATCCCTTCTGTGCTGGTTCATAGCTGTTTGCACCAAGAATACAGACATCATACCCTAATTCTTGCAAGGCCCAGAAGAGGAGGTAGTTGGTTTCCAGGCACCACCCACCACGTTTCTTTCTCACAATCTTATTGTAAATAGCCTGCAAATCCAGCTCGATGGGCTCCCCACAGTGCATGCTGAGGTTCTCAAAAGGAATGCTGTGGATGTGATGCTGGAAGATGGCTGTCAGGGTTTGCAAGTCTGCATCCTTATGGGGCTTGTTGTAAGATATTCTTCCAAAATATTCCTGAATGTTCATTTTGCCTGTGGGAGCAGAAAAGTAGCCAGTTACTGCTGTGCAGCTGACAAGGGGTTCACTCCTGTTTCTGTAGCACAGGTTACCCAGCCTGCACATGTAATCTGGACTGTTTTATTGAAGATTTAAAAGAATTTTAAATATTTCTTTAAAAAGAGACAGGGACAGGAGCGGGTGGCAATAATGCTTCCCCTCTCTTAGGGGCTGCCTTCAAACCAGGAGGATGTTTTTCCCGTGGGAAGACACAGCACATGCCAAAAACAGAATCTATGGCCACAGAGGAGGATAGCACATAACAAAATTTTTCCAAAATCAAGAAACAACAGGTTTGCAGAAAAGCTGCCACACCATACCGGCATAAAAGTCGCAGCAAGATCTTACTGTTTCTTTTACTGTACCAGGTAAGCAATTCTTTCTTTATCCCACAGGTAATTTAACTGGAAGGTTTTGCATTCATGGATTAAGTTAACTGGGATTAACATCTCAGTGTGCCACCATTTCAGACAGGCTTCCATGTGAAATAGATCATTGTTTTCTTAATCTCTTAAATTTCCCTGAGGAGTTTAGACAGGGCTTTGACTGTGAAAGGAAGGGACTTCAGTTTTTCTAACCTAAGGATCAAAGGAATTGATCTAAAAGTACATACAAAGCAAGTCATAATGTTTTCTTTTCTTTGATCATCTTTTACAAATTAAAGGCTTTAGTTTCAGATCAAATTATTGGAAATATTTTGTGGTTTTCTGTCTGTATCTCTGATCCCCTTTCATTAGCAGAAAGACACTGTCATTGGCACTGGTTGTGTGGCCAAGATACAAAAGGTTCCCTGTAAGACTTTTAATTCAGTGACTCATCTTCTCTCTGCAAGGATTTCTTTTGCCCTTAGTTTAGATTTAATTTGGCTTTTTTCCATGCAAGGATATTTGTTGTCCAGAACAATTCACAATCTGTTAAGGGCTGTGTTAATTTCCAGAAAGTCTGAGGATTTCTTGCTTCCTTCAACTAGTTGAATGTTCCCTGGGAGGATTTTCCAAAAATCCTTCGATGTGGATGAGATGGGACAAACTCCCTTCCACTGAATATTCTTAGCTTTGCTCCAAGTGTTTTCCCCCAGAAGTTTGACCCCATGTCCATGCCAGAAGCCTGTGAAAATCCCACCTCAAATCTATGGGTGGAAGTGCCCCCACCCAAGCAGATGAGCACATCCAATGGCCTAATCTCTAGACTTTAACCCAAATCTTGATGCCAGCAGCACAACTCACATGTATTGGTTGTATTGCTCCTGATCTGCACTAGTACCAACATTCAGACTGGCTAATGCAAACCACAGGAAAATTTGATAGAATAGAAGATCATCCCAGTAAGGGAATAACAAATAAACATTATCACTTCAAAAGGAACCAAAGAGTCTACATGAAAAAACAGCAATCTCTCTTTGATACTGCATTTTATTATTTTTTCCATCCCTTTTTTAGGACAAGGGCCTCATCTGTAGCAGGATCTCCTTGGAAACACTTGTAGAAAGCCATTTCCCCCAACACACAGCACACGTGGTAGGCAGGCTCATCCTATGGGCCTCTGCCTCATTTTTCCTTCTCCACCCACTTTCAGCTGTTTTACATAGGAAGATAGAAACATCTTTACCCCATGAGGGCGTGGAGCTGAATCTCTGTGACCTGCAGGAGTCCAGAGAAGTGCATCAGCTTTGTGGGTCTGACACGCTTGGAATTTACCTTCAAGCAAAACCAGATCAGTCCCTGCCCTGGGTCAGCAGCAGAAGCCCTGATGCCCCCCCTGTAACCCATCTCCTGGGTCTGGAGTGCCCCATTATATGGTGAAAGCATAGAATAAAACCAGCTCCCTTCATCCAGCCATGGAGAGCCCCCATGGGGCGCTGCCAGTGAGGCTTTGGGAAAATATATTGGGAAAGCCTTTTGGAAAATTCCCTTCCATGCCTCAGTTTCCCCAGCTGCCCCTTCTCTGGCCTCATCAATTTAAAGAGATAGCCTTGCAGTGGCTGACAACATGTGCTCTAATCTCAATGAATACTTAAAGAGGTTCAAGTACAATAAAGCTGCACTACAACATCATTGACATTAGGGAGCATCCACATAAATCAGTGTTCACTCCCTGCCTTTCCTGCAGGCAGATTTTTCCTTGGCACAGCCATTCCTGCTGTGTGAGCCAGGAGGCTGCAGCAGTGAGCAAACCCTCTCCCAGGGGACAATTTGCATTCCAAAACTGAGTTGCCAAATATCCCAAGCCTCAGTCCAGATCTCAGCCTTGTTTGCTTCTGCCCCTGCAGCAGCTGAGCTTTGCTCAGTGTTCCAGCAGCTTAGAAATTCAGATGTTGGTTCTGCCTGTCTGCACATGTCCCTCAGGATCACTGGGTCCTTTGGTAATTAGGCTGAATATTAGGATCAGTTCTCCTCTGCTGAGAATCAGGAGGGAGTTCCAAGGCTGGATCCTCTTGTGCATGCCCACATTGTTTGTTTGATTCAAAGTTACACTGTGAGTCAATACCTGCATTTTTCACACACTCTGGCTCAAAATAAAGGGTTAGTTTCGCTCTCAAACACTCGATGTTGCACTTAGAAATGCCCTTCACTCACCATCAGCCTCCGTTCCTGTAGTTTGTGCTTTGCTAATACACCTGCAGTGCTGTGCACAGGCTGTGCAGACTCACAGGGGGGAGCTTTCCCAGAGGGGCTGACCCAGAGCTGCAGGATGCAGTTAAAGATCAGGCATTCAGAGCTCACCTCGCACGCAGTCAGCTCAGGCTTTCCACCCTGCGCTGCTCCAAAGGTCCCAGGAAGAGCAGAACTGGCAACAGCAGCTCTTAAAGGTCCAGGCAGCCTTTATTGCCTGTCAGGGACTGCCTTATCCTCCAGCACAGCAGCCACAGAGGGCAGAGAGTTTCTTCTCTTTTACTAGATTATATTCTGATGGTTTTATTGCTTTATTTGTATTGCCATATGTGTGGAAATCCCTGTCAAGCAATTTGTTGTGTTGGGTGCTGCACAGAGAGCCTGGAAATGATCCAGTCCCCAAACTACTTACAATGTTGAGGAGATTTTAACCTTCCACATCACTGAATGACAGCTGAACTCTCCTGGAGTGCAAAGCATGGGTACCATGAGCAACTTCTGTAAGTGGCTATAACCTATAAACCCATCCTCCACCCTGCAGGTCACGCAAGGGCTTCAGAGCCTAGGAGACCTTGATGAGTGCTCTCATGTTAAAGCAGCAAAGCACTGGTGCAAAAATGATGCAGATTTTACGTTGTTGACACTGATGTGGTCTGGATTCTCGTGGGAAGTGACTTATGATAGACAGATAATAATCCAGGACAGCAAGTCACTGCTTTATTGGTGGGGATGGCAGCTGTTGAACTCATCACAGCACACTGAGCTGTTCCTCGTGGCTGACACCAGCCCCAAGCATCAGGGTCAGATTTGCCAAGTCACAGAGTTGTCTCAATTCCCCAGGGTTCAAGGACAAGCCCTGTCCTTTGAAAGGGAAGATGCTGCCCCCAGAGAACTCTGAGCTCCCTGAACCTGCTGTGCCTTTGAGTATCTGCCCCCAAGGTTAGTGATAAGGAAAAAACAAACAAGCGCTATCTGAAATGGAAACCTCTTTTCTTTTTTTTTTCTTTCCGTCCTCCAACAGGAAGTTCCATTGCATTGCTGGGCAGTGCACTGTTCCTCTGTGGTGAGCAGGAGGCAGGAGCTCTGAGCTGTGATTCTTGGCTCTGTGTGGATCTTCTCCTGCTGCACATATTTGCAAGACCTGCCTGCACTTTTACCTCATCCCAATGCTTTCTCCCTGCTGTCCCACTGAATTTAGCTCCTTTAGATGCCCCACTAGATTGAGGGCCATAGAAAAACTTGGGTCAAAAACCAAGATCCTGGGACAATTTCTTCTGATCATTTGTGTTGCAAGCTCCTGGTCCACACCATAAGAAGACTCTCCTTCTTTTACAACCACATTTCATTTTCTCATAGAATTGGAGGTCCTTATGTGCTATGAAGAATTATTGTAGCCAATCAGATGTAAGTGAATATGACTCTGGGAAGACCAGGGTTCCAGGAGCTTGCTGTGCCTCGAAGTAATACATTATGAACATGCAGAATAGCAGCTTTGATTAAATCTGGACTGCTAGTTCGAGAAACCTGTACTGCCTGCATAACAAGTAAAAAAGATTCAGTGAGATATTCTCCTTTTACAAGCCATAGCTGGCAAAAATTAGCACGTACAAATAATCAGGACAACTTAGGTGATTAATGACATTTATTTTTTACTATGGGAATACATGCTGTAATTTGAGAGGGGAAACGTCTGAATTCGTTCACAGTGTTTGATTTTTTTATTTAATTGTAATTCACTAATATAATTTGCTTAATTATAAGTGCGTAGTTGTAATGCTTCCAAGATTTGTACATAAAGGAACATCAAGCATCTTTTAAAGGGCAAAGGGGTCACATTTGAGTTGTTTCTCCTACTAGGAATCTTAGCCCTTAGGTATGTGATTAAGATTTATCACATCTCCTGATATCAGTGTAATTAGTGTCACTGCAAACACATCCTCAGTAGAACAGATCTGTTTCACAAAAAGAATTCTGTGCATGTGTTTGGGTTCTGCTGTAATAATTAATATGTGCAATAGCACCCAGAGTAGTCTGAGGAGAGGACCATGTATTGCCAGGAGTCTGCTGCTGAGGGAGAGCAAACAAAATGCTCAGGAGATGCTTTCAGTTCACAGAAAAGTTATGTCACTGGTTATGTCACTGAGAGAACAGGAGCTGTGCAAAGTCTGAAACAGCAAAGCATTGTCAAGAGCATTTCTTATCATCAGTTGTGAGTCATAAATAACCTCAGGTACTCACATGGTCACTTTGCACAGGTGTGGGATGGCCTGAGTGCCATGTGAGAGGCTGTTGTGGATATGAGAGCAAAAAGCTTCTGACTTGACTGGAGAAACTCAGCCCAGGATGTCTTTGTGGTTTTGGCTATTACACTCCCAAAATAATATAGTGTTCATTTTAGAGGCAGGTATTTTCCCCAGGTGGCAGCACCAGGTAGTAAAGACAAAGACATACAGCTCCACCATTCTGCCCAGCTATACTGGGTGTGTTTAGAAAAGCTTTTAAGAGATGGAAGGAGTAGGGAATGAGCTGAGTCTGCTTCCCGCTAAGCACAAACACAAGGGTAATGATTTGATTGAACTTAGCAGAAATTATCGGTACCCAACCTAAAGAGAAAAGCAGGAATAGTTGTGAAAATCCATTTGTTTTCCAGATTCATGATAGTATGTTCTGCCTTACACAGGTGTAGCTGGAAGGAGAAAGATTAACCTTTGGATGCTTGTCAGAAAGAGAGGGAAGAATTGCCTGTAATGCCACTGAATTGAATTGTAATCCAGGCAGTGAGTTAGAAGAACTTGTTATCAACAGGTACAAATTTCTTGTCTAGTGTTAGACTGAATTTCTCCCTCAGTGTTTTCTCTAATTCTTCCTCTGCAAGCATTCTGATTTCCACATGATCCATATTGTCCCTATAATTGTACTTTATCTCTGTGAGTTTCCACCCCACCAGTTCACGGATGCCGTCAGCAGTCTGCATGCTGCACATGGACTTCAACACAAACTTTGAGTTAGGTGCTGTCTGCAGGTGGGCATTGCAGCCCCTGAACTCCTCAATGTCTCGTGGCTGGAGGGTAAAGAGATAAACCCGACGGCAAACTTCATTTTCCACATTTGGGGAAGTCGAGGTGCTCGGGTTCAGAACCCACTGCTTCCTTCTCACCTTCTCAAAATACCAGATCCCATTCTCCTCCTGAAAACGAAAGACCCCAGGAATCTGAGGCTGATCTGTCCCTGAAATCAGCTCCATTGGCTGCCACATCTGGTAGGCCATCCCAAATCCTGCGTCCATAATGTAGGATTTGCCATCAAGATCCACTCGTAGCAGCAGATGATTGATATCTTCTGGGTAGGCATCACGTTCTGGGACATAAACTTTTGCTCCCAGAAGTGTGATGTCATAGCCAAGGGTTTTCAGGACCCAAGACAGAAGGTAGTTGTTTTCCATGCACCAACCCCCACGTTTCTTCCTCACTATCTTGTTGTAGATTGGTTCCAGGTCCAGCTCAATTCTTTCTCCGCAGTGGATGCTCAGGTTTTCATAGGGGATAGCTCGGATGTGGTGCTGGAATATATCTGACAGGGTAGCCAGGTCTGGTTTATTGTGGGAGCCCTTGTAAGAAATTCTGGCAAAATACTCCTTGATGTCCATGCTGCCTCTGAGAGAAGGGTGGGAAAAAATAATAGGCTGTGTCAGAAGTCACGGAAGGCTCTTCCCCATCCCTTATAATGGGTGCCCAGAAGAGGAGCAGGATTTGACTAATATCTGAATCAAAGGCAGCTGAGTAATAATGCTGAGAGAAGCCAATGGGACACTGCTGACAAGCACAAATGTTATTTTTATTTCCCTCTCTTACAGCTGTGACGAGAGGCTCCAGCTGTGCTAAGCACATTTCAGCAGAGATCCTGCCCAGCAAAGCTACAAATCTCTGTAGGAAGGAACAAAAGCAGTAGCAGCAATGTTACCCTGCTAGAAATTATGGGAGCTGAGACTCTCCCGATCTGAACTGCTTTGCTCTTGATTTCAGCAAAGCAGAAGCAGAAAACAAACCCTCCCACTCTTGCAGTGGGATCCAGAGACAGGCACTGCTAAATTTCAGACATCTGTAAATATGGAGCAATCTGGTTCCCATTATTGATGCAAGAGGTCCAAAAATGCTCTCACATTACTGTATGCAACTCCCAAAGTAAAATCAAAAGAAAAATATCCAACTGTTCAACAGGATTATATTCCCAATCTCATGAAAACTGGTAAACCAACAATTGTATGGGAATATTGGAAAGGTACTTTCAGGACATAAAAAAACCAATAAAATGAAAAATTCCCATTAGGCGTAATATCCTGGCAGAAACAGAGGGTGCCATGGTTTGGATCCCCACACAACCTTTAGGACAGAGGCTTTACAGAACTCTGACTATTGGTCATGGCCACCACTGCCTCAACATCCAAGCAGGCCTGAGTGATCCACGATGGGGTTAAGAGCATCAGAGTCAGGAGGTTCTCTTTGTTCAGCTTTTGGCTGTTCCCAGGATTTTCCCAGAACTACAGTTCCGTTCATTTCTGAAAACTTGGCACAAGCTTAATTCTTCTTGGGTGAATTTTAAACCAACGTCCCAGTTAAAGCAGTTTTTCCCTTTTTCTCCCTTCCTTTCCCTCTGCCACAGCAAGCAGAACAGGTGCAGTAACTTTTTACTCACAAGGAAAATGTTAGTGTGGCTTTGTCTGTCTGTCCATCTCTTGAGGGTGTTTACAGGGCTGTTTTCATGGGGGTGCTGAAATGAGGCAGATGGCACAAATGCCCGAGTAGCTTGAGGCTCACCACTGAGTAAATAAAGCAGCGTAGCTACAACAGCGAGCAGCTGAGCTCCCTGCTCTGCCCTTACACCATTCCTGCTGTGTTCTGTCCCCAGACAGATTTAACTTCCTGGTTAGAGAGCGCTCAGCTGCCAAGATCCAGGAGTTAAAAAAAAGGCTTACCTGGAAATTCAGTTCAAGTGCCAGTGTGCTCCGGGGCTTAGGGTGGTTCTAGGTTAAAGTGGCATAGCTGGCTGTCCTATATTTAGCAGAGACAGGGTTTGAGGACTGCTCTCCAGCTGCTCTTCAGGGGAATGTCCTTTCCCTCAACTTGCTTTCACCCGCCTCTGTTAGATAGCAAAGGCTGAAAAAAAAAAAAAAAGCCAAACAGAAAAGAAAACCCGGAAGGGTGGTGCCTGAGAGCTGCTTTGAGCCAGCCAAGCCAGCAGCAGTGTGTGTTATAGATACATGTTATTATATTGTCTTTTTGCAAATATTCCATGGATTTTGTATGTGTGGTGTTAAAGTGACTTTGCTATAAAAGTTGTTTCAGTTGTTAATTAAGCTTAGACATAGTTGTGAAATAGCTGATATAAGTATGCTTGTGTTAAAGTGCCTACTTGGACAGGATAACATCCAATGAGCACAGGATGAGGATCCTGCTACAGATGTGCCAACTATCAGCACTCACTGTCTGAAGACAGTGTGGACCAGGGCCCAAAAACTGGCGGTGATAAGAACGGACTAAAACCGCAGCCAAGGAATGGGCATGCACCAAAAAGGAGGGACAAAGGAGGAGCTATGCTAAACACTTCTTGGAAAAGATAAACTAATTCAGGGAATAGTTTAGTGTGCATAATTGTTTATAAATGTGTAACAGGCCAATGCAATAGAAATGGTATATAAAGGGTGTTTCCAAACTCTTGCCCGAGTGCCAAGATGCACCCGGCTGTAATAACCTTTGCTCTATGGTCTTTGTCTCCCATTGTCCTTTATTAAACTTTTAAATTTTTACAGGAGAGTGAACCCTGTTTTTTCACAAGTGCAAACCTGGCTGTTGTCAGAGCAGAGGCTGCTTCACATTTTCACTGGTTTGAAGCTGTCTGCAGGGGCCTGCTCAGGCTGTCACCAAAATGTTTTGGTTTCAAAAGCTTGCTGGATGTGGTCAGGTGATGTCATTTTTTTCTCAGGTGTTTTTTTTTTCTCAGGTGTTGTCGTTTTTAACATTAGATTACTATTTGTTTGGAAATGTGGGGGAGGAAAGCTTGCATGCATTCAGTCCAAGAAGGTTTTTGCACTGTTTCTGAAGAACAGCAAGATTTCAGCACAGTAACCTACACCTGCTTACCCCAGTCTGCAGCACAGGAACTTCTCTGCTACCTTTGCTTCCTTTCCTCTGAGTGACTTCATGTGGGTTTTATTGCAGCAAATTTCATAGAATGTAAGAAAGCACTGGGCCAGCAGTGTGTGTCTCCTTTGCTCTTTGCCCACAGGAATCACCTGCAGATGTTGCTGATGGTCAAGATGCTCTTGGCACAGAGATGAAGCATTAAAACACAGGGAGCTCCATCCTCTCACAGTATTAAATATTGCCTTTGTATCTCCCAATTGTGATTGCATTTTGCAAGTCTCCTTCATTCCCTGACATCTGCAGCTGGATCTTCCCTGTTAGCTCCCCAGCAGTCGTTCCAGTCCCTCACATGTAGTGTCAATGCCAAGTTCCATTCAAACACTGATTTATTGGGATAATTAGCAGAGCTAATAAATCAGATCAAACTAAGATGTCTGTGATAACCCATTACTAGCTCCACTCCCATATCCAAATTTGGCTCTTTATCATCCCCTCAGTGCCCTGTCTGTGACCCCACAAGACAGAACCCATGCCCAAGCCACAAGATGCTGAAGGGAAAGGAGAACCTGCCCTCATTAGGCTCATCTGGGCAGCTCCAAATCAGTACAAAGAGAAAGTTCATATTCCTGTCTGGATCTTGCTGGTGTTCTCTTCCCACAGACCCTCATTTTGACAGGGAGAAACCAGAAGTCAAGCAGGCAGATCCCAGTCCTGATGGAAACTATCCTGAAATTCTGTGGACGCATCTCTGTATAATGTTTGAGGAGACCCATCCATGCTCCTTGTCCAGAGTTCTTGGGACAAATAACAATTTTTATTGTTCTATAGGGTGCCAGAACAGAACCCTTGCCAGTTCTCTTATGTGAACTGGCTCAGGGTCAGTTCCAGGGAAATGTGGGGACCCTTTTTAAACATAGGTGTTTTCTGACCCAGAAGGAGTAAAACCCATTTTCCCTGGTTCCTGTAGTTTGTGCTTTGCTAATACACCTGCAGTGCTGTGCACAGGCTGTGCAGACTCACAGGGGGGAGCTTTCCCAGAGGGGCTGACCCAGAGCTGCAGGATGCAGTTAAAGATCAGGCATGCAGAGCTCACCTCGCACGCAGTCAGCTCAGGCTTTCCACCCTGCGCTGCTCCAAAGGTCCCAGGAAGAGCTGAACTGGCAACAGCAGCTCTTAAAGGTCCAGGCAGCCTTTATTGCCTGTCAGGGACTGCCTTATCCTCCAGCACAGCAGCCACAGAGGGCAGAGAGTTTCTTCTCTTTTACTAGATTATATTCTGATGGTTTTATTGCTTTATTGGTATTGGCGTATGTGTGGAAATCCCTGTCAAGCAATTTGTTGTGTTGGGTGCTGCACAGAGAGCCTGGAAATGATCCAGTCCCCAAACTACTTACAATGTTGAGGAGACTTTAACCTTCCACATCACTGAATGACAGCTGAACTCTCCTGGAGTGCAAAGCATGGGTACCATGAGCAACTTCTGTAAGTGGCTATAACCTATAAACCCATCCTCCACCCTGCAGGTCACCCAAGGGCTTCAGAGCCTGGGAGACCTTGATGAGTGCTCTCATGTTAAAGCAGCAAAGCACTGGTGCAAAAATGATGCAGATTTTACGTTGTTGACACTGATGTGGTCTAGATTCTCGTGGGAAGTGATAGACAGAGAATAATCCAGGGCAGGAAGTCACTGCTTTATTGGTGGGGATGGCAGCTGTTGAACTCATCACAGCACACTGAGCTGTTCCTCGTGGCTGACACCAGCCCCAACAAGCATCAGGGTCAGATTTGCCAAGTCACAGAGTTGTCTCAATTCCCCAGGGTTCAAGGAGAAGCCCTGTCCTTTGAAAGGGAAGATGCTGCCCCCAGAGAACTCTGAGCTCCCTGAACCTGCTGTGCCTTTGAGTATCTGCCCCCAAGGTTAGTGATAAGGAAAAAACAAACAAGCGCTATCTGAAATGAAAACTATTTCTTTTATTTTTTTTTTTTTTCCCTTTTTTTTATCCCTCCAACAGCAAGTTCCATTGCATTGCTGGGCAGTGCACTGTTCCTCTGTGGTGAGCAGGAGGCAGGAGCTCTGAGCTGTGCCCTGCAGGGGCAGCACCCGGGCAGCTCCGGGTACACACTGCAGATGAGTCAGCAGAAAGAAAAGTGCCTTTCCCTGTTCCTGCCCTCCACGCACTGCATCTCAGGGCCAATGGACATAACTCCCTACTCTGATCTTAAAGGTCTGTGATTTTGTAGCTCTGGACTCATTCCCCAAGCCTATGGGCCAGCACAAAGTGCACGAAACACCCTGACACAGGGAGAGAGGAGTGGGCACAGCCCTTTCTAGGTGTTTCCAATGTTTGTTCCCACAAAGGATGGAGAACCTTGGCTCTGTGTGGATCTTCTCTTGCTCCACGGCTTTGCAAGATCTGCCTGCACTTTTACCTCATCCCAATGCTTTCTCCCTGCTGTCCCACTGAGTTTAGCTCCTTTAATTTGGGGCCACAGAAAAAGTCAGTTCAAAACCAAGCCAGATCCTGGGACAATTTCTTCTGATCATTTGTATTGCAAGGTCCTGGTCCACACCATAAGAAGCCTCTCCTTCTTTTACAACCACATTTCATTTTCTCATAGGATGGGTGGGCCACATGTACTATAAGGAGCTATTGCACTCCTACAGCCAAGCATATGTAAGTGAATATGACTCTGGGAAGACCAGGGTTCCAGGAGCTTGCTGTGCCTCGAAGTAATACATTATGAACATGCAGAATAGCAGCTTTGATTAAATCTGAACTGCTAGTTCTAGAAACCTGTATTGCCTGCATAACAAATGAAAAATGTTCAGTGAGATATTCTCCTTTTACAAGCCATAGCTGGCAAAAATTAGCACGTACAAATAATCAGGATAACTTAGGTGATTAATGACATTTATTTTTTACTATGGGAATACATGCTGTAATTTGAGGGGGGAAAAATCTGAATAATTCTAGTTCACAGTGCTTGATTTTTTATTTAATTGTAATTCACTAATATAATTTGCTTAATTATAAGTGCGTAGTTGTAATGCTTCCAAGATTTGTACATAAAGGAACATCAAGCATCTTTTAAAGGGCAAAGGGGTCACATTTGAGTCGTTTCTCCTACTAGGAATCTTAGCCCTTAGGTATGTGATTAAGATTCATCACATCTCCTTATATCAATATAATTAGTTTCACTGCAAACACATCCTCAGTAGAACAGATCTGTTTCACAAAAAGAATTCTGTGCATGTGTTTGGGTTCTGCTGTAATAATTAATGTGCAATAGCACCCAGAGTAGTCTGAGGAGAGGACCATGTATTGCCAGGAGTCTGCTGCTGAGGGAGAGCAAACAAAATGCTCAGGAGATGCTTTCAGTTCAAAGAAAAGTTATGTCACTGGTTATGTCACTGAGAGAACAGGAGCTGTGCAAAGTCTGAAACAGCAAAGCATTGTCAAGAGCATTTCTTATCATCAGTTGTGAGTCATAAATAACCTCAGGTACTCACATGGTCACTTTGCACAGGTGTGGGATGGCCTGAGTGCCATGTGAGAGGCTGTTGTGGATGTGAGAACAAAGAGAACAGGCCCAGGATGTCTTTGTGGCTTTGGCTATTACACTCCCAAAATAATATAGTGTTCATTTTAGAGGCAGGTATTTTCCCCAGGTGGCAGCACCAGGTAGTAAAGACAAAGACATACAGCTCCACCATTCTGCCCAGCTATACTGGGTGTGTTTAGAAAAGCTTTTAAGAGATGGAAGGAGTAGGGAATGAGCTGAGTCTGCTTCCCGCTAAGCACAAACACAAGGGTAATGATTTGATTGAACTTGGCAGAAATTATCGGTACCCAACCTAAAGAGAAATGCAGGAATAGTTGTGAAAATCCATTTGTTTTCCAGATTCATGATAGTATGTTCTGCCTTACACAGGTGTAGCTGGAAGGAGAAAGATTAACCTTTGGATGCTTGTCAGAAAGAGAGGGAAGAATTGCCTGTAATGCCACTGAATTGAATTGTAATCCAGGCAGTGAGTTAGAACAGAGATAACTTGCTCGTATTGGCAGGTACAAATTTCTTGTCTAGTGTTAGACTGAATTTCTCCCTCAGTGTTTTCTCTATTTCTTCATCTGCAAGCATTCTGATTTCCACAAGATCCATATTGTCCCTATAATTGTACTTTATCTCTGTGAGTTTCCACCCCACCAGTGCCCGGACACCATCGGCGGTCTGCAGGCTGCAGATGGATTTGGTCACAAAGAGGGAGTCAGGTGCTGTCTGCAGGTGGGCATTGCAGCCCCTGAACTCCTCAATGTCTCGTGGCTGGAGGGTAAAGAGATAAACCCGACGGCAAACTTCATTTTCCACATTTGGGGAAGTCGAGGTGCTCGGGTTCAGAACCCACTGCTTCCTTTTCACTTTCTCCAAGTACCATGTCCCATTCTCCTCCTGAAAACGAAAGACCCCGGGAGTCTGAGGCTGATCTATCCCTGAAATCAACTCCATTGGTTGCCACAGCTGGTAGGCCATCCCAAATCCCACATCTACAATGTAGGATTTGCCATCAAGATCCACTCGTAGCAGCAAATGATCAATATCTTCTGGATAGCCGTCGAGCTCTGGGACATAAACTTTTGCTCCCAGAAGAGTGACATCATAGCCAAGAGTTTTCAGGACCCAAGACAGAAGGTAGTTGTTTTCCATGCACCAGCCCCCACGTTTCTTCCTCACTATCTTGTTGTATGTCGCTTCCAGGTCCAGCTCAATTCTTTCTCCACAGTGGATGCTCAGGTTTTCAAAAGGAACAGCTTGGATGTGGTGCTGGACTATATCTGACATGGTAGCCAGGTCTGGCTTACTGTGGGAGCCCTTGTAAGAAATCCTGGCAAAATACTCCTTGATGTCCATGCTGCCTCTGAGAGAAGGGTGGGAAAAAATAATAGGCTGTGTCAGAAGTCACGGAAGGCTCTTCCCCATCCCTTATAATGGGGTGCTTAGAAAGAGAGCAGGATTTGACTAATATCTGAATCAAAGGCAGCTGAGTAATAATGCTGAGAGAAGCCAATGGGACACTGCTGACAAGCACAAATGTTATTTTTATTTCCCTCTCTTACAGCTGTGACGAGAGGCTCCAGCTGTGCTAAGCACATTTCAGCAGAGATCCTGCCCAGCAAAGCTACAAATCTCTGTAGGAAGGAACAAAAGCAGTAGCAGCAATGTTACCCTGCTAGAAATTATAGGAACTGAGACTCTCCAGATCTGAACTGCTTTGCTCATGATTTCAGCAAAGCAGAAGCAGAAAACAAACCCTCCCACTTTTTCAGTGGGATCCAGAACCTCTTCTGCAACCAAATCTGAAGCAAGTCTGTCCTGCCATGGTGTTTCATCCATTATTAGGCAGCCAGGAATGAGCTGGTCTCACCTGCTCCTGCTCTTTCTGCCATCAGTAACAGACATGACCTGGAGTGCAGAAGGGTTTTAGGGCAGAAAATGCTGTGGGAGGGTTTTTACTGCATCTGCTGGGAGCTGCCCCCCCATAGCACAGCTTAGCTCCCCAGTCCTGATAATCACAGCCCTTCTCCAGCACCAGGAGGAAACCAAGGTTTGGGCCTAAACCACAAGGATCAGAGGCCTCACATTTTCTAAAATCATGTTTTGGGATGCAGTTCCTCTTTCTGTTCACTGTCTTCCCAGTGGTGGGTGGCTGCCCATGGGTGAGGGAGCAGGCATTTCCCTCCTCTGGGATGGCAAAGGGCTCCGTGCAAGGCTGTTGCACAAACACAGGGCTGGAAAGCAGTTCAAGCCTTCCCAGCCCTTGATGGATGGAATGGGATTTTGATGGAGCCAAGTATTTTTGTTATTTCTCCCCAGGCACTGCTAAATTTCAGACATCTGTAAATATGGAGCAATCTGGTTCCCATTATTGATGCAAGAGGTCCAAAAATGCTCTCACATTACTGTATGCAACTCCCAAAGTAAAATCAAAGGAAAAATATCTAACTGTTCAACAGGATTATATTCCCAATCTCATGAAAAGTGGCAACCCCAAAATTATATGGGAATTTTGGAAAGGTACTTTCAGGACAATAAACAAAGATAATGAAAAATTCCCATTTGGTATAATATCCTGGCAGAAACAGAGGGTGCCATGGTTTGGATCCCCACACAACCTTTAGGACAGAGGCTTTACAGAACTCTGACTATTGGTCATGGCCACCACTGCCTCAACATCCAAGCAGGCCTGAGTGATCCACGATGGGGTTAAGAGCATCAGAGTCAGGAGGTTCTCTTTGTTCAGCTTTTGGCTGTTCCCAGGATTTTCCCAGAACTACAGTTCCGTTCATTTCTGAAAACTTGGCACAAGCTTAGTTCTTCTTGGGTGAATTTTAAACCAACGTCCCAGTTAAAGCAGTTTTTCCCTTTTTCTCCCTTCCTTTCCCTCTGCCACAGCAAGCAGAACAGGTGCAGTAACTTTTTACTCACAAGGAAAATGTTAGTGTGACTTTGTCTGTCTGTCCATCTCTTGAGGGTGTTTACAGGGCTGTTTTCATGGGGGTGCTGAAATGAGGCAGATGGCACAAATGCCCGAGTAGCTTGAGGCTCACCACTGAGTAAATAAAGCAGCGTAGCTACAACAGCGAGCAGCTGAGCTCCCTGCTCTGCCCTTACACCATTCCTGCTGTGTTCTGTCCCCAGACAGATTTAACTTCCTGGTTAGAGAGCGCTCAGCTGCCAAGATCCAGGAGTTAAAAAAAAGGCTTACCTGGAAATTCAGTTCAAGTGCCAGTGTGCTCCGGGGCTAAAGCCTAGAAGGTTTGTGGCTGTGCTTTACTCAGCACAGACAGGCAGACAGGGCTTGAGGACTGCTCTCCAGCTGCTCTTCAGGGGAATGTCCTTTCCCTCAACTTGCTTTCACCCGCCTCTGTCAGATTGCAAAACTGAAAAAAAACAAACCAAACCCCGAAGGGTGGAGCATGAGAGCTGGAGTGAGCCAGCACAGCCAGCAGCGGTGCAAACCTGCCTGTTGTCAGAGCAGAGGCTGCTTCACATTTTCACCTGTTTGATGCTGTCTGCAGGGGCCTATTCAGGCTGTCACCAAAATATTTTGGTTTCAGTAGCTTGCGAGAAGTGCTCAGGTGATGCAATTTGTTACTCCCAGTCATTAGATTACTATTTGTTTGGAAATGTGGGGAAGGAAAGCTTGCATGCATTCAGTCCAAGAATGTTTTTGCACTGTTTCTGAAGAACAGCAAGATTTCAGCACAGTAACCTGCATCTGCAACCTGCTTACCCCAGTCTGCAGCACAGGAACTTCACTGCTACCTTTGCTTCCTTTGCTCTCTGTGTGATTTCCATGTGGGTTTTATTGCAGCAAATTTCATAGAATGTAAGAACGCACTGGGCCAGCAGTGTGTGTCTCCTTTGCTCTTTGCCCACAGGAATCACCTGCAGATGTTGCTGATGGTCAAGATGCTCTTGGCACAGAGATGAAGCATTAAAACACAGGGAGCTCCATCCTCTCACAGTATTAAATATTGCCTTTGTACCTCCCAATTGTGATTGCATTTTGCAAGTCTCCTTCATTCCCTGACATCTGCAGCTGGATCTTCCCTGTTAGCTCCCCAACAGCAGTTCCAGTCCCTCACATGTAGTGTCAATGCCAAGTTCCATTCAAACACTGATTTATTGGGATAATTAGCAGAGCTAATAAATCAGATCAAACTAAGATGTCTGTGATAACCCATTACTAGCTCCACTCCCATATCCAAATTTGGCTCTTTATCATCCCCTCAGTGCCCTGTCTGTGACCCCACAAGACAGAACCCATGCCCAAGCCACAAGATGCTGAAGGGAAAGGAGAACCTGCCCTCATCAGGTTCATCTGGGCAGCTCCAAATCAGTACAAAGAGAAAGTTCATATTCCTGTCTGGATCTTGCTGGTGTTCTCTTCCCACAGACCCTCATTTTGACAGGGAGAAGCCAGAAGTCAAGCAGGCAGATCCCAGTCCTGATGGAAACCATCCTGAAATTCTGTGGACGCATCTCTGTATAATGTGTGAGGAGACCCATCCATGCTCCTTGACCAGAGTTACTGGGACCAAAGAACGTGCCAGAACTGAACCCTTGCCACATTCCCTTATGTGAACTGGCTCAGGGTCACTTCCAGGGAAATCTGGGGTCCCTTTTTAAACATAGGTGTTTTCTCACCCAGAAGGAGCAAAATCCATTTTCCCTGGTGGTTTTATACTCAGCTTTTCTCAACTCCTCTCCCTAAAACCTTTCTGCTACTGAGCATTTTCTTCCATGCCTTTCAAATTCTCATCCCAGCCCACTACATTCATTCTCTTCCTTATGTAATTCCAGCCATCAAAGCTGTGGCTGGGTGTCTTTCTGGATTTGTATCCTCAACATCCACCACGTGCACTTGGGTTTTGTCCATCCCACCAGCCAGAGGATGAGCCTGCAGCTCCAGAACCCCTCTCCTTTTTCTTCAGGCACATTTTACAGCCAAGCCATTGAAACCACGAACTCCCACCCTCCCCAGGCAGGCCCAAGGCCAGAACAGGGCAAAGCTCAGTCAGGGAGTGCTGAAGGTAAGCAAAGGCTGATCTTGAGCCCCAGGATTTGCTGAGGTCTGCTCAGTGCCATGCGAGATCAGCAGGGCTAATTGCAGGTGGGGCAATAAACTGCAATCACAGCTGTGGGCAATGGCCACAAGGTGCCCCCACCTGCCCCCAGGAGCCACAAAGGATGGGGAACACAACCACAGGAATGTCCTTGGAAAGGACCCTGCTGTCCACCTGGACACTGAAATGCCATTTCCCAACCTTGGCAGGAGCTGGCTGAGATTGTTCCAGAAGTTCCTCAATGTAATTGCACTCACTTTTATATAAATTTGAACTGCTGACAGCATTAAATTTAATACTGAAATCTTTCTCTCATACTGACTCTCCTGAGAGGCCTCATCAAATATCTCTCCCTCCCGGCTTTAATGGAGCATTTGATGCTGCAATATTTGCTTGGGGAAATAAAAGCATTGGGTGCCCTCTTTGAGGTAAAAGCCAAGTGTCTGCTCCCTTCTATATTCAGCTCTCTGGCACACTGTATAAGAAATGAAGGTATATTATATTATATTATATTATATTATATTATATTATATTATATTATATTTTTAGCTCTATATATATAGATCAATATAGATATAGACATAGATAATTTTTTTTTAACCTCTAAACAAAAAAAGTCTTCATTTTGGGCATAAAAATGCAGCAGCAGTGACCATTTATGAGCCATGAAACTACAAGCCTCATCCTCAGCAGGGTTAAATTGTTCACATTCCACCACAACCACGTGGCAATGCTGCTTCCACTCCCTGGCTTTGGGTCTGCTCCTCAGAAAAGCTCCTGTAAAACCAAACTGTTGTTTCAGTGCAAAAACCCTCCTGGATTTCAGTGGGAATCTGGATCAGTCACAGTTCAGGCAATCAGCCTGGAAGCATGCAAAGCAGAACAATTACACAAGTTCTGTCATTCCCATTACTCAGGGTTTTTTTGGGTTTTTTTTTTTGAGGTAGGTGGGAAGGAAACCTTTTATCTTGGCAAGGAGTGTTATAGTGACAGCAAAGGGGAAAAAAGCAACTGTGCCTTTGGAAAACACATTTTCATTACAATGTACTAACACACATCACAGAAATTAAATATGTTTGTGATGACAAAGTATTCCCATCACTCCACTGCTGAATTTGGTATACAAGCAGAGAAAAGAAAGGAGAGATGCTCTGGATTAACAATGCTCTTCCAGACTTACCTTTAGTGGGATTTTTTTGGTTTTCTGCCCTGCAATGAGCTCAGGGGGACACAATGGTGTGACTCCCAAGTGGGAGTGCACACTTAAATGTCCTTTTCACAGTTTTTTTCTGCCTGCCCTGTATGTTTACAGCTGGTCCGGAGAGCACAAAGCCATGTGCACCATGCATGGGACAGAAAAGGGGGGACATTTTCACACCTGGAGCAGGAGGGGAGCAAATTCCTCCTGATGCTTAAAGAGGCTGGCCTGGAACAGAGGCTAGACAGAGTCAAAGGAATAAAGTATGGATTTATTAAAAGGCCTTCAAAGGATACACCTTGGGCAGCACAAGAGCCTGGCCATGGCTCTGCCCAAGATGGATGACAGGTCACGAGTTTTCACACTTTTATAAATTTTGGTCCATTTCCATATTGGGGTCAATTGTCCAATTACAGCTTCAGGTTATGAAGTCCCATCCTCACAGTGTATTCTCCTTAATTCTCTGGGTTTTATACTTTTTGGGCCTGAAGCTCCAGTGGTGTCCTTGGTTCTCAAGCTGGAAAAGGATTGTTCTGTCTGACTAAGCTGTGAAGAGAACTTGCAAACACTTTATAAGAAGTTCAGAGTCACACACTAAGGCAGTATAGAATCTGAAAAATATGAAAGTTAAAACTTCAGGCATCACTCCCAGCCTGGGATGAATTGCCCATGGATTTGCTGACTGTCACACTGCACTGAGGTATCTGAGCAGGAATGGGAGGAGGAGTGAGTCCTCCAGGAGATTGGGAGGGGCTGAAAGCTGGGAAGCAGATTGTAGATGTGGTCAGTGCAGGGAGTCATATTCTGGAGTGCAGAGTGGGGAAAGAAATTCCATGTAAATTTTCATAGCTGCTGGGATCTAAAATCACATCCACCTCTGCCCTGGGAGATGAGTGAATCCTGTAAAAAAATATCAGGTTGCTGAATCCAGTCAGAAATCCAGTATCCAGGAATCCAGCTATGCCTATGACAAAAATCATCCCTTTCCCAAAATAAAGCTCCACACCTGCTGTGATAACCCACACATTACCCATAATAATATTACTTTTTTCTAGCAAGGAGCAATTTGATCCTTGATCATACAAACTACTGAATGGCCTTTGCTGTGAGATGATGAACCTGATTAATTTGACATCATCCCTGGGCATTTTCATCGCATAAGGTAAAAGGTAGCTAATTTCCTTGCAGTGGTCATGGTATTTCCTTTTCCTCATCACACCATTGCAAATCGATGCTACACCCAAGGCAGTGTCTCCTCACAGGATTCTGTCATGATGGAAGATTGTCATCCACCTCCCAAACCCTTATTAAAATGGAGCTGTGCTGTGAAATTCTGGTCAAATACTCCTTGAAAAGTAACCACGTGCTTTTTAAGCATCTGGAGGCACATCTCTTCTGCTCCTCTATTTAAAATAAATAGAGCTGTCATGGAGAAAAGCCTGTGGTTCAGCCACATCCCCCTGAGACCAAACCAAGCACTAGATTTGTCAATTCCCACTAATGCTGTTTTTAATTGCTTTCTCAGCAGTTGTGCTGGGACCTGCCCAGTGCCAGGCTCTGCGCCTTGTGTTGCAGGGCAGCCCCTGCCATCCCCTGGGCCACACAAACAGACTCAAACATGATGTTGACAAATCCATTGCTGGCTCTGGGGCTGGAGGCTGAGACCCTGAACCCGGGGTGGTGATGGAATAAAGTGCCTCCAAGTCAGGACAGCTTTCTGCTAAAAGATCTGAGCTGTGCAAACCCTTTGGGAAATTTCCAAGATGCAGCAGCCAGCCAGGCCAGCAAAGCAGCTGCAATGTCCTTTTTCCTCATTTTCCAGCTTCCCTCGGTGGCACCAGGTGCTCCCCAGCTCTGCAGGGAAGATGGGGTGAGCAGGTCTGTAAATCCTTCAGCAAGTGAAACCTTTCCCCTACATCCCCATGAAAGCACTAAGCAACCTCACCAAATCATCTGTCTTTTGCCAGGTCCTTACCCAATTTGCAATTATTCCTCCAATTCCTGTCTATGTCAGCATAGCTAATGA